CAGACCTTTACTGGGTTGCTGTTAAGGAACTTAAATTAAGTTACCATAATGGGTATATGTAGTAAATAATAGGGTTTCCCCAATATAGTAACTTAATTTAAGTTCCTTAACAGCAACCCAGTTTAAAGCCCCAGCCCGCAGCCAGAAACTCTAAACTCCATGAGCCTAGTTCGGGGCCTCAAGAATTACCAAGCTTATGGCGATGGACCTCAAAACGATGTTGGTAATCATCTAGGGCGCCACAGTATCCACAAAATCCATGCAGGCCCAGCTTCCATGTCATCTTCCATGTTCTTGTCCATTTGATTCTCCCTCTGTACATGCCTACATAACCCCAAACCCTAAACCCAAGCTTGAAGTGCACACTGCAGGTGATGCTGCTGTGGATGATGCCCGGCCCGTCTGTGCAACGACCCGAGCCGGCTACCGCATATGGAAATCATGCTGACTTGGTCTCCATCTAATTTTCCGAACAGCAACTAGGATGTTGCAATCTTCTGGTGATTTTCCAATCACCGTTCCGAAGCTAAGTTCTCAACCCTGAGCCCTAAGTGACATGTGTGGTGTCCATGTTTTCCATTCTCCCCATGCCCAACTACGTATAAACCTGAGATAGCAGACTCTTTTCCAGTGCCCTTTCCATCCCCTTGCCCGAAGCATCCTCAACCCCCCATCCTTAGCCCTAAGTCTAACCATGGGCTCACCGCGGCTTAGGGTTTAGGGACCTGTTTCCCGGATGCTATCTGTGGGCATTTAGTCTGGTTTTATGGGGTATATGACAGGTAGGTAAGGACCCCAGGGTTGAGGGTACTACTGGCGGCCTGTGCCCTAAATCCTAAACCCAAGTTTCTATTTTCTTTTCTGCTCCTCAAACCCTAGACCCTAAACCTCCAAGCCTTGACTCCCACACCCAGGCCCAGTGGGCAAAGAGCTCTCGCTGCAAAGCGGGCCGCGATTGCCCCTGGCGCCACTGCCGCCCGCAGGCAACGATTTGTGGATTTAGGCTTTTGGGGATTTAGTTTGGAGCTTAGGGGTGTTGAGGACTTTAACTTTAAGGGGTTAAGTTAGTCTGGAGCTTAGGGGTCAACCTTACACTCCTAAACCCTGAACTGCAGCTCCGGGCACTCAGGGATTTCCGTAGATAGGGGCCCCGGAGCAGTATGATCCTAATAAACAGTACCCCCGCAAAGGGACCCCTTATTCACGGAAACCCTCATTTAGGTCTTAGGGACTTCTGGAGTTTTAGTTACTTTGGGGGTTAGTTAGCAGGGGCTTTGCATTGGGTTTTGGTTATTTGAGTGTTCAACGGGTTATAGAGATTTGGGTTTTGGAGGGGTTCAAGGTGTCGAGGTTCAAGGTGTTTGGGATCTAGGGGAATTTGGGGTGTAGGGATTTAGGGTTTCACGGATTCAGGATTTTCGGTTTGAAATCTAGGAGGACAGGCTTCTTGTGCCAAGAGTGAAGAGTTGATATGTACATACACGTGGTGTGCTGCCATGTCAGCATTGGATCATAGAAGCGTTGATTCGGGTCTTGCTGGCAGGTAGAACAGATAAAGTGCTCATCCAACATCACCTGGGAGTTTCCCACCATTCTCCGTTCAAGGGGAGGCTTCCCGAATCTCTGTCTAATCTATCCCTGCGCTTGGTACTAAAAAGTCTTGCATGATAGGATCCTACGCACTCTGTGAATCTGGAATTATTGCATGATAGTATACTAAGGTCGTGCAAGGTTTCAAGTATCCCCAGTATTGAGAATCATCTATTTGGGTACTGTGGCAGCCGCAGCAGCATCTTACAGCATCGTCCGGTCCAAGCTAGGTTCAGCCATTGCTGCTGCCATAGCATCAAAAAAAGCACGTATTCCCTAAGATGATACAACAGAGTATTCAGAAAAGTTGTCAGAGAAGAGTGATGTTCTGGCCTCATGCGGGAGGCAGGAGCCCCTGAAGAAAATCGCATCTCCTCTAAACCCCAAACCGCAAATCCATCAGCAGACAGCTAGTTGAAAAACTCTCACAATTATGGATCAATTTTGGATCCTGAATCCTCAACTACCTAAACACTAAACCCTCAATGAAACCTGCGCCCCCAACTCCCCAAACCCTGAACACGCAGAAAATGGTTCTTGTCAATGCCAGGCTGGAGACTCGGTGCGCGAATGCATATTGTTTGACGACGTGTGACGGGTAACTGCCGGAGCTTATGCTGCACGATGTCATACTGGATTGAAGGCTACCGCAGCACTGTCCAGAATAAATGGGGCCTGCTAGCAGTTACACAAGGGCTTGGAATGCGACATAAGATATCATAGAATGCCTGCCCGCAGAAGCAGTGGACGCCAAAAAACGAGGACGCAGTAGTGGAGCCCATCGATTCGTCAATGCTTCTGCCGTGTTTCACGGAGTTCACACACAGCCTGTGAACCCAGCCCAAGATTTGCACAAACACCATCTTTGCCAGTTGAGGTATAGTCAAAACTCTTTTGAGGAGCTGCTAGTTTTGTAGGGCTGTGTAGGAATCGCGCTCGTTTGCAGAGTTTTGATTTCGTGTCAGCTGAGCTGCATGTGACGGCTTGAATTAGCCAGTAGTCGAGTAGGATCTGCGGCACGGGGCTATTGGCTGAAGGCCACACCCCCAGAGCTGCAGAGCGTTGCATCAAGGCCCCAAAAAAGCCGAATTTGTGGTGCCTTTTGTCGGTCTTGACTTTGTTGCACTATTAAGATGTTGAGGGGAGCCCGGGGAAGATATGTTGAGGCAACTCCCAAGGCTATGCCAGCTTTGCCAGCAGCACCTTGAGAGATTATCCGAACTGGACGGGAGGGATGTGCGGACGCGAATGACAGAGATCCACCATGTCTGACACTGCGAGCGCAGCCATGCAAGATGGTTCACAGGACTTACAAAAATCCCTTGGTCAGTGTCTATGCTTGTACGTCTGGCTATGCTGAGCCAAGGGTCCCGGTAGCATTACCTAAATGATACCTCATTCCAAGCACCTGCAGTAAAGAGGACCAGGATTCGAGAACCTCCTACTCCCACAAGCCAAGGCCCTACACCCTTCAACCACAACCCTAAAACATGTCTGATGACTCCTTGTGGCTCCCGTCAATTTAGCCGGCCATGCCCAAGGCAGGGCAAAAGTGTTCGGAGCTTGGGCTGTTTTAGGGGTTGCGGACCACTGGCCTAGCAAGGCTTGGGCTAAGACTTTACAGACGTCAATGTTGACGCAGCTACTGGTGGACTTCGGAAGCTAAGACAGGATAGAATATGCCTGCCTGTGCACTCTCGTAGTGGTTTTGGAAGCAAAGTTTTGAGATCTTAAAGCCTGAAACCCTAAACGCTGACACCCCAAACCCTAAACCGTGCATGCTACCAAAGCTATTCTTTCGCCGGCCGGCAATCCCGCTCACGCACTTGCAAGTTCTAAACAAGTTCGGATAGTATGCCTTGTTCTGCTACATTACTATATGACTACATGACTATGTTGCTGTGTCACTGTATTTCTCTATTAATAGATTATTATATTATTAGTATTATTAGTATGCTACCATGCCTTGGTCACGAACTTGGGGAGGCCTCATCCTTCTACGTGGATTGCACCCACGCGGCAGGCTCTCTCGACTTGCCGGCATGTGTGACTTCACCGGCAGGGTTTAGGGTTTAAGGGTCTAGGGTTTAAGGGGTTAAGGGTTTAAGGGTCTAGGGTTTACGCAGAGGTCTAGGGTTTAGAGAGCCTTGAAATGCGAACCTACCAATCTACAGCCTAGGGAGCGTCGAATTGTGTGTGTGTCTTACAGTTTTATCCCTTTTGGGCAGGGACGTCATCATTTGGGTAATCTGCTTCGGAAGCCCTGAGCCGTCAACTGCGATGTTCCTGTGTAAAAGATCAGGAAGAGTAGTGTTCCATAGCTCCGTGACCCCAAACACAGATCGCAGCATAATATAAACACTTATAACCATAATATGCCTCCCAAAAACGGCCCCTACGTAATTTGTGGAAATCCTGAGCCTGATAACTTCTGCTCTACTTTTGATGGCGCCTAAACACAAAGCCTAGCCTTAAAATCCAAAACCACTAATGGGGTCGTATATGTATATATGAGGTCCCTGATCCGCGCCTAGTTTTTCCACTGCGATGATCCGTTCATCTGGCTTTTTTTGTCCGAGATCTGCCATGTGGAGAGAACACTGTAAATCCTAAACTGCTTTTGAATTTTAACATGGACGGCCAAAAAAAGTTTAGTTTTCACGGATTCGAGGCAAAGTGTACCCATTCCTGGATTCCTGGCTTTGGGGTTGGTTCTGGTCCATATACATCCTCTGTTGAATTTAAGTACAAATGATACGGAAATCCTAGAATCCTGGGCTCCTAGTTTTGGACCTGGTCCTTGTCCATGTAAATCCCTTATTAAATTTAGTTCAAACTGATACGGAGATTTGTAGTGTTGGAGCTGGTTCCGAAATCTGATTAAGATTGATACGGAAATCCTGGAATCCTGGATGCCTGGTTTATGAGTTGATAAATTTTAGGGTTTTAGGAGCAGTACAACACTTTTGCTTTCCGGGGCTGCAAAGGTGCTGCATTGCCCTACATTTTAGGTGTTGCAGATGCCACGTTTTGGGGCACGCACAGCACTTGTGCCTTCTGGGGTTGCAAATTTGATTTATTGTCCTTGGATTTTGGTTGGGCAAATGCCAAACTTCAAGGACCGTACAGCATTTTTGCTTTCCGGAAATTGTTATGCTGTCCCTAAACTCTGCTTTTGCAGAGGAAAAATGTGAGAGACCATACAGAACTTTTGCTCTCTGAGGCTGCAAAAAGTGCTGCATTGTCCCTAGATTTTTGGGTCTGCAGAAATCAAGTTGGGGGAACAGCACTACACTTTTCCTTTCTGGGGTTGCAAAAGTGCTGTATTGACCCTAGATTTTGATTTGGCTTTGCAGAGGCCAGACGTTAGGGACAGTACAGCACGACACTCAAAAAAAACTCGGTGTACAGGAACCTTCATGCTCTTGGCTGCTGCAGGTCTCTGGAAATCAGGTTGTTGGGTTTTAGGGCCACTGCAGCGCTTGCCTGGCTCCATGCCAAAATTTTAGGGATACTGTTGATACTAAGAATCCTGCATGACCTTAGTATACTATAGCACCATAATTCCCAAGGTATAGGGTACTTAGGGTCATGCAGGATTTTTAGTATCCAACGTAGTACTGCAAACTTTCGTTCTCTGGGATTGCAAAGTGCTCCACTGTCCATGGCTTATTCTTTTGCGGAGACCAAACTTGAGGGACAGTGCAGCACTTTTGCGTGCTGAGGTAGCAAAAGTGCGGTACCAGAATCCAATTCAAAACCGGAAATCAAAAAGTCAAAAAAATCGGTTTCGGTAGAGTGTAAGCACCCCCTTACATGGATCGGTCGTATATATCTCTGTCTATCTCTCCCTAGATTTTTGCAAGCTCTCACGTGTCAACATGGCAGGAATATGTCGATGGACATGCCGCAGGCTGCACCAAGGCCCCTCTCAGTGCTGTAGCAGGGTTTAGGGTTCAGGCGTTAGGGCTCTGGGTTCAGGGTTTAGATTTTGGGTTTAGGATTCAGGGTTTGGGGTTCAGTGCCTCGGGTTTGCGGTTCAGTGGCAGAGTTGCTGTTGAGGCACTTACAACCACGGTACTAGTGTACAGAAAAACTGGATGGTTTCTCTATACAACTTTAAAGAATAAATTATCAATTCATGGGTAAATGCTTGTAGTAAATAGCATGGTTTTCTGAAAATGGCAGCTTAGAATCCCTCCCTCCTATCCTCTTCGGAAGTGTTTAATTTTATCTTACACGATAGTATAACCCGAAAGAACAACTCAAAAACACCTTCTGTACTACAAGTATAGTGGAGCTCCGATTACTTCACAACAATTCATGTATGTTTGCGGCATCCTCAAAGGCAAACAGGCTACTGGGTCGGGGCTTGAGGGAACTTCACAGCCCCGACCCCTTAATCCTAGGACTTCGTGTATGTGCGTACTTGGAGGGTCACAGGCACTTAACAAGTAGCTCTTTACTGGGGGCAACTGAGGTTATTCTATGGCTTGATAAGACTACTCACTAATTCCCCCTGACCGCCCAAGTAAGGCAGAACCCTAAAACCCTAAACCCCAAACCCTAAACTCAAGAACCCTGAACACTAAACTTTCGAACCCTAAAGGCCCTGCATCCTAGACTCTGCAAGCTTTGCAAGCTTGCCTTCTGTGCCTACACTGTGCCCGCCAGAAGGGTTGCTGTTGAGGAACTTAAAGAAATCTACCATAACATGGATATATGGTAAGTAATTGAGTTTCCTTATTCTAGTTACTTAGCTAAAGTTCCTTAACAGCAACCCAGCTAATGTCTTGCCCCTGTAGATTTATGACCTTTGGCGAAACCGAAGGGCCGGCGCCTCAGTTCCGACTCACAACAGCAACAGAAGCGTGCATGATTGTGAGGACTATTCGCTTGTAGCACTTATACAATCAATCGTAGCAGAAAATGCCCGAGGGCCCCAAGCTTTGTTAGAAGACGATTCCAATTATTAAGTCCTCTACGCTATGCAAAAGTTGATCTCTGCCATCTGTTCTCAGCACTCTTACCTTATGATCACTGGCCAAGAATGAGGGGTCCGGTTTTGAGGTCCCCATAATAAGGGTGAATCCAACAGTGGGGCCTTCATTCATGGAAATCGCCTTATAATTGTGAGCCGTGCTCAGGTCACGGACAAGGGCCCGGAGGCACCTTGGCCAAGTCTGCCACCGCCGTTGATATGAGGATTTCTCAAAACACGTTCTTTTCGGCACGGTATGGATAGAGGGGTTACAAAGAGATTATAGAGGTTCCCTTCCAAGGATGCCATAGAGCATACTTTCAGAAATTGTCCCATCCAAGAGCTCTGTCTTCTTTTTGAGACCTTAAACCCTAAAAGCCAATCCTTGGGCTGCAGCATCCTAAGGAGTTGGGGGTCAGACTTGACAGAAGTGCCCCAAGAACCTTGCTTAGGGTCTAGGGCTAAGGTTCAGGGCTTGCTAGTTTGAACGTGTTACAACTGTTGCCGCACATGAAGATAACGTCTTGCACTAGCCTGCTGCTGTTGGGCGGTTTTTTTGGTGAGACATCACGATTCGTACCAATTGTTACTATGCTTTCCCAAAACCTATGCGTCCTTTGTGGGTTGCTTACAATAAGCTGCGCATTGAGTTCCACCAAACTATCATGGAAGCGCATGAAGCCTTCGCTCAAAACACTTTTTCTGGCGATCTCAAACTGGGAGCCTTTGCCTTGAGCTTTCTGAAAGGGGTACAGGTCCGGGAAAGGTTAAACAGTGAGGACCCCAATATGAAGGGCCTGGAAAAGACTCCGTCGTGTATGTCCTTATGTAAAAATGCCGGGAGAGACGTCCATTGTGATTCTCACATCCAAACACCTCAAACCCTAAACCGACTTTGCGGGTGCTTAGGTAGGCCACCATGACATGAGAGCTTGAAGGAAAACAGGTGCAGCCCAAACACCAGTGTAGAAGCAACAACTGGGGGTTTCCAAAAAGTAGGCCCTTTGGGGGGTCATAGGGGTGATATTGGGTTTAGGGCTCAGGGTTTAAGGTTTCCCAAAATTAGGGGTACGTTTTGGGGGTACCTATACTGAGGACTAGAGTATTTTGGGGTCTATAGTGAGTTCCCCTCATTTTGGGATTTTACCAATTATTTTCGACATTATCCCCCCATAACCCTCATTTCTACAGAGTACTAAATAACAAAACTCGATTTTAACTACCTAGCCCTACACTATACGGTTACGGAGTCGCTATATGAGAATGATCACGCAGCACGGTTGGCAAAGGCTTCACGTATGGGAGTTTCTCAACATCAAGTGCCCTGGCCCCGGATTGTAACCTTACAGTAGTGGTATAAGGACTCCTTACAAGGACTGATGATGCTGAGGAACCCTCCTGTCAGCATCCCACCTGGTGGCCCTTCGCAGCCCACACAAGTTCTTGATCCCTGCATCCCAACAATCACCCCTGGGCAGAAGTTCTGAAGCACCCCAAGCACCCGAAACTCAAAATCCCTTACAGGTATCCCAAAAAGCCTGATGTCCAAAGCCTAGTCCGTACTACTCCTTGTAGGGGTCCTGCTTGCGAGACCCTGATTCACGGGTTGCATGTCCTGCCAGCGCGCTCCGTGCTCTGCGCCTGACTACGTCCATGCGGTTTGAGGCTTAGCGCAGCCCTTTGGGGCAAAGGGCTCAAAAGGTGGGATGAAGGAAGGTGGCCAATATGGTAGAGTATATACTTTGGATCATTTAACCCACCTACCTTCATTCCACCTTCTGAGCCCCCTGATTGGTGCCAAGGGTCTGAAAAGTCAAAATCTCCCTATGCCCAGAAGGTAACAGCGCAGTGTCCCGGGTACCCGTATAACCTCCGGATGGTGTCATCCCCTGCAGTAACTCAACCATGGATTCTGACCCTCAGCTACATCATAAGGAGTTTGGGGCTTGGGGTTTATTACAACTTGAGCTTCAGAGTTTCGAGTCTTCCGCGCCTCTTCAAAAACTTCGTGTGCAGAATTGGAACTTCTGAACTGGAGTGTTTTGGGAATATTCATGAACCACTAAACGCAAAAACCGTCAAATTTCAAACCTCTATACTCCAAGGGAGTTCGCTCCAAGGACCATTTTCTTATACGTCTAAGTAGGCTGTAGTGGATCCCTCCTGGGCCACGAGCACTATACTGGGAATACCAGAAGGAAGCAGCCAAACCGTGCGCCCAAGCATGAATCTTCTTCTGCGCAGCCTTGGATTTTCACAGAATGTGAAAGGCAGATTTGCTGATATGCGTAATTGAGCAAAGGGGTCGTTTGCTATCAGTTCCATTTGGCGACCCTGGAACGGTATCTCATGAATATTAAGGTCTCCAAGTCAAAAAATATGTATCGTAGTAGTTATGACACTGCTAGAAACATTAGGAACAGGACCCAAAATCAGAATCATGTGGGTTATCCACAAGAGTACCGGCGATTCTAGAAGTACCAAGTATGGTGGTCTTGGTGTTACAGATTCTGGATAGCGCGCAACAACCCATGACCGTCAGAAATGTAAGACAGTGAAGGCCAGTCTCCATCTTCAAGCTTCACTTGCCGTCCGCATCTCCATGCATAGAGATTTGAACGCAACCTCCCCATGTCAATCTGGAACTGGTCAAGCATTGGCTTGTAAGGTTGACACTGGAGAATGGGCAGAATGCTGTCGCAGACCGCTCATGCATCCAGATGATGAGCAAGGTAAGTGAGAGCTTCGGTTGGTGCTCAGATAGATGAGGTGTAGGTTGCGGCTTTATCACGAGGTGTTGCAGGCTCAGCAGCTTGCTGGCAGGTCATATAGGCAGGATCCGAACATGTGGAAGTGCAACAAGGTACTAAACCTGAAACCCTCAGAACCTAAAAGACATTCCCTTGCAAGGCGCGGTACCTGGCAGCCTGATCACCCTGTCAGGTCCCATGAAGAACGTGTGGAAGCTACTGGTGGCTTTGGGGTTGAGACCCTTGGCGTAAACTTAGAGTACTAAGAAAGAGGGTCCTACAGTAGCCTTAAATTATAAGTATTCCAGAGGATCCTTATGTCTATGTGGGGAGTTCCATGAATTAGGCCCGTTTTTGGGAGGGTCCCTAAGATGAGGACCCTAGCATATTAGGATACATATTTGGGCCCCCCTCAAATGTACGGAAACAACTAGTTTGTATCTTGGGCCCTTGTTGATATCAAGTAGTATTGCTTCGCCGCCATTTCAAGCCAGGTGTTCTTGTTAACATGAATGGAGCCTAATCCCTAAACCCGAAACCCTAATCCCTAAACCCTAAACCCCAAGTGGCTGAGGAAAAGGACACAAAGAGGTCTACATCTGCCAACCCTTGAAGGCCCGACTGAGTTCGAATTCAACTTTGTGCAATTTGGGGTTGTTCATTCCCTTTCTAGGGTATTATAAGGGAATAACATAGGGTTGTATAGGGTGTAATGGAAAAGAAAATGGAAACTACCATTTAGGGTAGGTCTGAAAGTGATTTTTGTATTTGCATTACCCTTAACCCTATACAATACTTATAAAGCCATAGAAATTCAATTTTGACAGGGCCCCCAAACCCACCCCTGTAATTCTAGAGCTTGCGGCTCTATATTGGGGTCTCCCGGTTTATTGTAATTACCAGTTGAATGCCTTAATCCTGACATCATACCTGTATGCTCAAGGAGGTTTAAGTATCAGAGAACCTACACACCTGAGTTCCATGAACCCGCTAAGCATGGCAGTTTCTGCAGAAAAGTCACGGCATGCGTGATAGTTGGGGCTTAGGTTATGTAAATTCACAGCTCATGGGATATAATAGGATCCTCTATACATGTAGCTCAGGACAACTAAATCCACCTCCACCTCCTCAATCCTTATCTGAGCTACGAACAAGCCCTAAACCCTAAACTCTCAACCCTAAACTCTAAACCCCAAAATGTCAAATCCTCAACTCAACCCTAGACCCCAAAACTGGAGGCCGAGCACCACAATTACTCCTATGACATGGAGTCCGGCTTGGGCTGGATCAAGGCTAGGTTAGGGTTTAGGCTTTAGGGACTTAGAGTCTAGGGTTTGGGGACTAGGGATTAGGCCCCCATGGACTGATACGAGTATATAGGGACCCTAATACTATTGCCATCACCCCCGGTGGTGTCTGGTAGTGGGTGGGGACCTCACCTCGAGTATGACAGTAGCGACTAGTCAAAACTGTAGGCCGGTAGCTTCCACTTTTTCATGCCGTTCAAATAGCATGGTGGTTTCGCTTTTCTTGTCCGACTGTCCATTTCCAGTACTGGCTCCAAACCCTGCAACAACAAACCCCAAGCCCTTGCTACTGAAAAGCCCCCGAGCCCTAAATCCGAATCTGTGACCACGGCACTAACAACAAGACAAGTACCGGTCGTAGCAATATCTTCTGTGGTCAACTTCCATTTGTGTTTTACATCTCGAGAGTTGCCTGGGTAACCTGGACGTGTTTAGTGTGTAGGGAGCCTCCTAAAGGGTCATGTACTGATTGCTTCCAAAATCGCACGTACCCTGCGAGTCAGATGTCAATGCACGGCCTCTTTTGGGAGATCTTGGTAGGTTTTCTACAAGCAGGTGGCGTCACGTGCTAGAACTGCGACGTCACTTGCTCTTATCACTGTTATTCTAGGCTTCGCCAAGATGAGGAGCACTCGTATTGTTACAAGCTTGATGACCGTGACTGCTGCTTTTTTTGTAGCTGCGAGTGTTTTGGAGGACACGTGTGGAGACTGTGCCGGAAGCGACGAGGCCCTGCCACTGCTCAAGGTCGTTCCCCTGTTCAACTGCCACCGCTCTCAATACTTTCATTACCACTCAGTATGGACTCTCGTGTTGTACTCACATGAGCCTTCGTGATGGAGAACTTTCATGCAGAGTGTGAGATAAACCAAGGGCTGTTTGACATCGCTTGGCTTGCTACAGTTGATGGTCAGAATGTTATAGATACCGAGCATTTTTCATTCCTTGAAAGCCATTGAAAATATGCATTCGTGTTGTTACTACTACTAAAAGACTAACTAGCAACAACTCCGATCATATGTGTGTATATATGTATGGGCTACGGTCTAGACTTCTTAAAGGGGGTTATATAGGGGATTATATAGGGTATCATTACAGGGGTTATAAAAGGGGAAACTAGGAGTTTAGACCATGGCCCATATGAGTAGTATTTTATTTGGGGATACTATGGCACCCATTATAGAGTAAGATTCTATCCTCCTTTGGGGGTATAGTATTTTATATAAGGAATATAGTCTTACTGGTTTAACCACCAAAAAAACACTACTCATATATATATATATAGATGCCTGCCTCAGATCTGCCTGAAGCCTCGGGTCTTCGACATCAAGTCCACGCCTCCTCCCAAAGGTTGGAAGGATAGGCTGAAGCAGGCAGGGGAGCTGGTGTGGAATTACTGGGGGGTTTAGGGTTTTAGGATTTTAGGGTTTAGGGTTTTAGTGTTTAGGGTTTAGGCTCAAAATGGGGGATAGATACCCTGGAGTTCCTTTAAGGAAGGCTCAGGGATGTATAGAGTTCAGGATTGGAGACTTAGGGCCTCAGGGTTTCTCAAAGCAACCCTACCCTAGGGATCCCTAGAGGTACATGGGAATAAAATGGAGATTGCAGGAGAAAGTAATTCTTCAGAAGAGCAATGCGGGGAGCAATGCTGAGGTTAGTAACGAGATTGAGAGTAGAGTGGTGCGCGCAGTATTCAGTACTCCTAGCAGCTGTGACCATGGTAGTAGATGCAATGTCAATTGCCAGGGTGCCAAGGCCATCGCGCGGAAGGCGCAGACCTCGGCTTTTTAACCCTTTCTCCCAATGCCTATGCCCTCCTCCCCTAAGATCCAAGGTTCCAGCTGTTTTGATCCAACATTAGAGGAGGTGTGTATCTAACAGAAAGGGATCGGAATCCGTTGCGAACGGTATGTGCTTTGACTGAGTTGCTCGGCCTGGACAGAAACGTGTGCCTGGGCGTGGGTTACAACTGGAGCTTTGGATCCGCACTCAGCGACGCAAGGGAGCATGGCCGACATGTTTATTGCTGAAAAGTGGGGTCTCCCTATTCATACCCAACATATTCGGGAGAACCTCTAAAAAAAACTCCAAACCTAAACCCTAAACCCACGCTTTTCAGGAAGCCTAGTTGTCCTGTTCCTGGCAATGCCTAGGCCGAATCGCGCCCGGGATGATTGACATGATCAGGTCCTTGCCCTATGGCGACAAGCGAAGGGTGCGCTTGTGACTGTGACCAGGACATGTAATTGTCGAAGCTATGGCCCTAGGACTTACTGGGGGTTAGTAGGGAATAAGGGAATGTGTATTATACATATATTTATATATATGGTGTAATGTGCGAATTGTTCGTCTCAATGTGGCACCTCACTGTTGGGCTGCAAGAAGGGATCGTAATTTCAGGAAGCACCCGAGTGGAGAAACCTACAAAAAGATTGTGCTGGCAGCCCCTGCTAGTGTTTGGGCACCCAAACCCTTCATCCTGATGCCTATATATGCTTATGCTCGAAGGCAATCTCCTCCCAGTTTCGGGAATCCTTTCTCTCACCCTCAGTCGGGCTGGCGCCCTGCTCGGTCCACATCTCCGAGTGCAGGTGTACTACATCGAGTCTGAGGCAGCAGCCACACTTCCACTAAATCCTTGTGACTTTGGTGAAGCCACCACCATCATGAGACGGTGGAATCGCAGGGCTCGTTGGCACGACTTTCTGTGAGCCTTAGCACGAAAAGTGACGTGAGAAAAGCGTTTCCTACAGCATGCTGTCAGAAGGCTTCCTGCTTTGACCATCGAAAGCTTTCAGAGTGACCTCTTCTCCGCTTCTGGTTCAAGAGCAGATCTCTTTGCCAAGTGTTGCAGCTCCTCACTCCACTCTGTTCCTTGGATTTTGGATTCTGAAAGTTTGTCAGCCTTTTTTGTCGGCAAGAGAATATGTTCAAAGATGCAAGGTCGCTGTCAGAGGGCGCATTGAAACCCTTTGGGCACCTAGTTTCTGGACTTCGTGCCATTTGAAGGGTATCAGAAAAGCGAAAGCTCACCATTGTGGGATTGCTTGTGCCACTGAGGCTTTCGGAGATATGTCGGCGCCAAGGCAGGTTCAGA